AGCCCATGGCTTCAGCCAGATTCCCTGATGGGTCCCAGCCTTGACCACCTGCCTGTGAGGATCTGATTCAAGTTGTTTTCCAGCTGTCAGGAAACAGGAATGCATGTGTCTTCTCAATATGTCTGTGAAGATGCTTCTCCCCCATCTTTTCCTTCCCAAGAAGGAGATGCATTCAGCAGGGAAAAATTCTTCCCCAGGGAGGGATCCAGGTTTGTCCCAGACAGTACCCTCTGGAATGATAAGAAGTGGAGCCCAGGGAGCTCCCAAGAGTACCAGGTAAATGAGATGGGGTGGGGGGTGGAGCCTGGAGTGCTGTTGGCAAGAAGAGAAACGAGTGAGCAGGTGAGAACACACAAACAGAGGAAACCTGTGATAAAAAGCATTGACAGGACAGGGCCCCTAGAGCCCCAGGGGAGAGGGGCCCTGAGCATGGAGACAAGACTAGGAAGTAACTAGGAAGTAACTCCTCAGGATCTAAGTCATCAAAGTGCTACACACAGAAGAAGTGGGGCAGGGCAGGTCTTGCCTACGTGGTACTCTGATCACCATTTCCTGGCTGGGGAAAGGTGCGTCTGTGTCAGCAGGAAACAGCCGCTGGAGAGGGGTGACTAATAGGAAGGGAAGCATGCTTTGTAAACTGTAAAATTCTGTACACATGTCTGTTCACTGTTATTCTCCTTCAGAGCCTTTACCTTGGAAATTGTAACAAGCGGCCAGGCAGGTGAGGCATCACAATAAGGAAACAGGAAAGTCACTGTAGAGTTAGAGTTTTTGACTATGGTTGGGGGGTGGGGGAGAAATGGTGGACATGGACTCTTGGAACAAAATTCAGCTCAACCCCCCATAGATTTTTCTTTTCTTTCTTTTTTTTTTTTTTTTTTGGCTAGAGGGAGGGTGTGGTGAGGCAGAGAGAGGGATAGAGAGAGAATCTTAAGCAGCCTCCATGTTGAGCCCCAATGTGGGCCTCAATCTCATGCCCCCTGAGCTAAAATCAAGATGCCCAAGTCGGACGCCCAACCAACTGATTCACCCAGGCACCTAACTCCCTTTAACTTTTCAGAACAGCCTGGGAGGGCATGAGCTGCCTCAGGTCTCATTCCCTAATAGGCCTTGCCCACTTCCGATGAAGGTCCCAGGCCAGCCAGTAAGTGGGCAGTACCTATTTCATTCACTCTTTTATCCATTCAACCAGTGTTTTATTCAACACCTATTATGTGCCAGGTCCTGTAAAAGAAGGTGTAGGTACAACTGTGGTGAGCACTGTAAAGGAGATGTATACAGTGCCATCAAGGCTATAATCAGGATATACAAATATGAGATACATAATCAGTTACATGCGGGCCTATTCTCAGGACAACAGAACTAATCTGGTAAAACCAAGGAAGTGTTGATAATGAAGCTGAGGTCCAAACGATCAGCGGGTATTAATTAGGTAAAGAGGGGAGTAGGAGTGACCCAGGCACAAGGAACGGTCTGTGCTAATGCCACAGTGGGACAGAGAATGGCATTGGCTTTGGTTATAAAACAAGTCACTCCAAAACTCAGTGGCTTAAAACAACAACCACTTATTTTTTAAAAGATTTTATTCGTTTATTCATGAGAGATGCAGAGAGAGGTAGAGACACAGGTCGAGGGAGAAGTAGGCTCCCTGAGGGGGGCCTAATGCCAGACTCAATCCCAGAACCCCGGCATCACACCCTGAGCTGAAGGCAGACACTCAACCACTGAACCACCCAGGTGCCCCACAACCACTTTTTTTGAACCCACCATTTTGTGGGTCAGAAATTTGGGCTGAGGGGCACCTGGGTGGCTCAGTTGGTTAAGCACTTGCCTTTGGCTCAGGTCATGATCTCAAGGTCCTGGGGTTGAGCCCTGCATTGGGCTCCCTGCTCCTTGGGGAATCTGCTTTTCCGTCTCCCTCTTTGCTTCCCCTGCTTGTGCTGTCTCTTTCAAAGAAATGAATAAAATTAAAGAAGGAAAGAAAAGAGAGAAAGAAAAAAGAAAGAAAGAAAGAAAGAAAGAAAGAAAGAAAGAAAGAAAGAAAGAAAGAAAGAAAGAAAGAAAGAAAGAATGAAAGAAAGAGAAATTTGGGCCAAGTTCAGCCAGGTACTTCCAACAATTCAGGTCATACTGTGGCTCATCTTGGCTGGGACTCACTCCTGCATCCGAGTCAGTTGCCAAGTCAGGGAAGAACTGGCTGACCTTGCCCGGGGAGCTTCGGTTCTTCACTTTCGGGTCTGCATTCCCCAGCAAGCTAGGCTGGGCTTCCTTCACATTCAGGGAAAGGCTTCCACCAGGTAGCCAAAAAGAACAACCTCTAATGGTATGTTTTGTGTCTCCATACCCATCACACTTGCTGTCGTCTCATTGGCCAAAGCAAGGCAATGGGGGCTAAGCCTAGAGTCAGGTGTGAACAAATTAGGGGCTATAACTGCAAAGATCTACCTCAGTGTGTTCAAGGAATTGAAAGAAAGAAAGACCAGAGAGTGAAGAGTTGAGGAGAGAGAGCATGGTGTGGGTGAAGCTGGGGGCGGGGGAGCCAGGACACAGTGGGCCTCCAAGAGCCCTGTAGGAGTTTGGTCTTTACCCTGAAAGCAGGCAAGCCCTCTGGCTTCTGATTCTCTATCATATGTAGTTGATCCTCATAAATAAATCCCTCGAAGACTGACTTACCCTGGATTTCCAAGCTTGAGAAGCTGAGGACAGGATGGGGAGCATGGTCTACCCCCACCATCCTCCCTGTAGCCTACACTACTGTAAAGGCCTCATACCTTCTCACCTCTGTGCCTTTACACCTGTTCCCCCCTCAGCAGGTGACAATCTTCTCACACCCCATGGAGAGTCAGTGCCTGCCTCTCCAAAACTCATTTCAGGTAGCACCACCTCAAAGAAGCCCTCCCTGACTTCTCTAGGCCCCCAAGACCAGAGAAGACACATTAAACAACACGGTGAGGCCTAGTGGAAAAGCCTGTGACTTATTACAATGGCCTTATGCTTTCTAGTACCAGGTTTGTATGGGGCCCAGCCCTGCCCATGTGGCACACACCTGTGGGCACAGTGCTTCACCAATGCTGCAACCATCTTTTTTATATGTATGCCTCCCACTAGACTTTCTTGAACGAGGATCCATAACCCCAGGGCCAGTACACAGAAGAATCAGAAACAGTAAATGAATGAGTGATTCTATCCCTCAACAGGACTCTCCTCTAGAGCCCCAGTCAATGTTATTAATGTCTTCTGACATGGCAGTTGAGGGGAGAGGTTCTCCGACTAGGCCAGCAGTTCCAGTGTCTCCCAGTTCCACCATGGAGCCACTCACCCAGAGGAGAGGAGCCTCCCAGCTCCAGGACAATCCAAGGAAAGAGAAGGGACCTCTATACAAGGCAAGTGCCACAGCACCACTTACTATGACAGGGAAAGAACCGAGCAGCCATGGCCTCCGTTGGAGCAGGCCTTCCCCAGGTGCTCAAACAGCTGGCCAGGGGCACTGAGCGAGCCACTGATCACCTGAGCACTGATGCCAGGAAGCCAATTCATAGGTTGGAGGAGCAGAGCCCATGAGCCAGGGGCTGAGAAGAGGGCCCCAGCAGCTCCAGGTCCTACCTACCAGTCCTGACAGACTTTTCCAAGCCAGCCTATGGTTCTTGAAGCACAAAGGTATAAACTACACTGTCTCCCTCTCACTGAGAGAAACCCAGAAGCCCAGGGAGATAAGCCTTTGACTCTTCGGGGCCCCTTCAGATGTCATGGCCACCCAAAAAGTGCACTACATTTCCCAGCCTCCCTTGTGATTACATGTGGCCCAGCTGACCAGGTTCTAGCCAATGAGACATGAGTGGAAGTGAGGTGCATAAGTCTGGGGATTTGCTCACAAATGGAAGGGCTATGCCCTCCTTTCTTGTTCTTCTCCTCCCCACTGCCTAGTGAGCCATCTTGGATAACATAGCCAAGGGCAACACCTCAGAATAATGGAGCAGCAACGAGATGGAAAGAGCCTGGGCCCCTCATATCCGGGCACACCATTTGGGGCCACCGTATCAGCCCTGACAGGTTTAAGCCAGCACACGCTGTTAAGGGAGGAGGAAACAAAATAACCTGTCTTGATGACCCTACTTTTATCTGAGCTACTTGCTATGGCTGCTGAATCCATATCCTCCCAACTCATATAGCCCAGCAGTGAGTTTCCTCAGGAAGCCCCAGACCACTGGGACTGCTTGATCCCAGGGGTGCTCATTGTCCCAGGACAACAGAGCTGTGACCTCCACCCCAGGGCCCAGCTGTTCTCTTGAAATAGCTGGGGAAGTTGCATGCTTGGAGGAAGCTGCTAGACTGCCAAGGATGGGAAGGGAAGTAAGCACAGCTGATACTCCAGCAGGGTAGATACCGGTACACCTGTACCACTTGTCACGATGCAGAAATACTTCCAGGCCAGTTGACACCAGCCACGGCCTTGAGCCACCCCACCCTGGGAACAGTCCCCCTCCCAACAAATAAAGGGGCAACACCTGGATGTTAGCCTGACCTCTGGACATTGATTCAGTCAGCCATACCACTTGTTAAATGTTTTGAACATTATCCTTGGCTCGAAGGTGCCTGGTCTCAACCAACTGAATGGAAATGAATCACTGAGGGGCACCTGGGTGGCTCAGTGGTTGAGGGTCTGCCCTTGGCTCAGGGCGTGATCCCAGGGTCTCAGGATCGAGTCCCACATCGGGCCCCCCACGGGAGCCCACCTCTCCCTCTGCCTATGTCTCTGCTTCTCTCTGTGTGTCTCTCATGAATAAATAAATAATAATAATAAATAATAATAATAATAAAAGGAAACGAACCACTGAACTTAGTGTTGACAGTGATAGGGTGACATGTGTTTTGAAAGCCAGAGTGGCGGCCGAATTCCCACCTCCACCACCTTCTCTCTCTCTCATCCCCAAAAGCAGAAACGGTGGGCCCCACCGAGGCCTGCCCTTGCCTGTTCAGAACGTCCCACAATCACACTCAGATATTATTGCACTCTTTTATTTACAGAAAACACAGATAAAGCATTTCAATGTTCATTTAGCAAACTGATCCACTCTTTTTTTTTTTCTTTTTGGCACAAAGAAATATCACAGATGGACCCCAAGATCAATCAGAAACCCATAAGATTTATCAGCCATCACTGGTCCAGGGGCAGCCACAAGACACAGACAGACAGACAGACAGACAGCATCGCCACAGACTGGAAAAAATAAACAAGGTCCACATTCACCTCACAGTAAAAACCTGCTCACTGGCAGGCAGGGGCAGGGGGCGGAGAGGGGGCAGGTTCTCTGCTCCAAGGGGGGGGTGGGCGATGGGCGTTGAGGGCAGGTAGCAGGATGGGGAGGGCTTAGACACCATTCATAAATTAGAGAGAGGTGGCCTTTTTGCTTTTAACCTCTTACCTTGTGGAAGTAAGACAGTGCAAAACTACCATACCCTGACCACTGCAGGGAAAAGCTGCAGAAGTTCCGTGGTTTGGGGTATCTCTCCTCGCCGGCGCCCGGGTGTGTGCATGTGTGCGTATGTGAATGTGTGAGTGTGGTGCTTGTAAACATTGTCACCATCCACGCAGAGACCCAACATCCGTGTGTCTGAATGGGGTGGGCTGGGGGCTGTACCCCGCTTCACGCCCCCTCTGCCCCAGTGATTCCTGTCCAAGACATAGTGCAAATTTCAGAGACAAAATAGAGGCAGAAGGAAGTGGAGGGTGGGCCGGGGGTGGGGGTTGGGAGGGGCCAGAAGGACACAAAGACAAGGTCGGAGGGGGGGGGAGAGATAAGGCAACAGTTAAAAACGGTCCATTTTATCAAAACCGACACCATGTGCCCCTCACCCCCACCCGCGGAGCCCTGGTCACGAGAAAGGGCGGAAGTCCCGCTCCTCCACCAGGCTGATGGAGGGGTTCTTGAGCTCCTCCTCCGACGTGGCCAGCTTGTAGCCCAGCTGCGCCAGCACCCGCTGGCAGGCGTTCTGGGCGAAGGCCACAATGTCGTAGGAGAGGCGGAAGCGCCACTTCTCGGCCGTGGCCGCCGAGTTGCGCACGGTGCCGTACTTGTGCTTGCCCAGGGTGGGGTCGCCCCGCGTGTTGTTCTGGATCCAGCGGGCCACGTGGCTGTCCAGGGGGATGCCCAGGAAGCCGTAGATCTCCTCGGTCTTCTTCATGGGGTTCCTGGCCAAGTCCTCGTAGCGCACCAACATGTACTTGCCCTTGAGCCAAGGCGGCCGCGTGAGCCCGGTGGACACCGAGTTGGAGAAGTCCTCGCACACCGTGGTCAGCTGCGTCACGTCCAAGTTGTAGGGCTTCCTCCCGGTGCCGTACCAGAGCCGCCAGAGCCGGTACGTGTCGCGGAAGGTCTCGCTGCGGGACGCCAGGATGCCCCGCGGGTCTCGGACCAGCTGGATGACCTTGAGGTTTAACCTTGGGTCTTCAACCAGGGCCCGGAGGTCGTTGACCTCGGGCACCCGCACCGTCTTGATGGCCACGTGGCTGCGCTCCCGACAGGCCTCGGCGGCCACGGTCAGGTTCAGCAGGCCGCACTTGCGCACGCAGTCCCCCTCCTCCAGCACCAGGTCGGCGGAGCCCGGGGGGTCGCACACGGGGCGAGAGCACAGCACCCTGCTGGCCCCGCGGCGGAAGATCCTGTCGGTGGTGTGGTTGACGGGCGGCGGTTTGATGTAGTTCTCCAGGAAGTAGAGGTCACAGTCATAGAGGCTCCTCAGGAGGTCGCGGCTGGCGCCCAGCATGACCCGCCGGTCCGCGGGGCTCTTGCCCTGGGTGAAGCGGGGGATGAGCGTGTTCTGGACGTGGTAGAGGGGCTCGAACAGGTAGAAGACGTCCAGGTGCTGGTTGAAGAGCTGGCCCACGAAGGAGGAGCCGCTGCGCGTGGTGGCCAGGATGAGGATGTGGGTCTTGCGCGAGAGGTTGTAGGCGAAGGTGGGGCCCTCCTCGCACAGCCGCTCGGCCAGCCCCGCCTCCGCCAGCCCCGGGCAGGTGTGGAAGGACTTGGCGGTGAAGGTGCGGATGGCCGTGTACTGTATGGCGATTGAGGCCAGGGCGAGGAGGAGGACGGCCTTCCAGGAACATTGCATGGCTGGGCACCTTCATGGGGCTGCTTCTCCACCATGCGAGGTCTGTGGGCAAAGGTGGGCGGCCGTCAGGCGCAGCCTGCCCTCCGCAGCTGTGGGGTGGGGGCTGGGGGCCCCAGCCTGCTCCCTTAGAAGGCCTGGCCTCCAGGGGGGCCAGGGACATACCCACTTCCCTGCATGATGTTCACACATGCACCCAAGGACTGAGCAGCTTCTAGGCTAGACTTTACATCCTCCGGGGACTCCTGGGAGCTTCTGGGCACCGAACAAATGGACTCCCCACATGCAGTTTCACAAATGCTGCAGGGGACTCCCATCATGAACCTCGAGTTCGAGTTCCTTAGTGTGGCCCCACTGGGCAAGGAGCTAACTTCCCCAGTTCACACACTCAGAGGCCCATCAGTTCCTGTCCCGAGACACTGCCCTGCCACTGCCTGTCACCCCTGCCAGCATCTCTGGGCCCGACTGCATCTTCTACCCCCACAACAGCCACCCGGTTCCCCATGTGGTCATATTTCCTCCATCTCCTGCCCACCCCTAGAGGAAAAAAGAGCTCATGTCAGATGCCACCTTCCTACCATAGCCCCCTGCAGGAAGGATCCCTGCACACACTGAGTACCAGCTTACCGGTGCCCACTGGGCCAGGAGATGGGGACAACTGTGTCAAGCCCACCTCCCCAACTTAGGGATGCAGGTGACCAGTTTACTCCAGAGGAGGACTCCTGGGCTCCCAGGGTCAATGAGGGTCAATTGGCCCAGAGCAAAGACAGATCCAGAGGCTGCTGAATAGCATCCTTTTCCAGGCTCCAGCACCCTCCAAGTTCACTCCTGGCCACTGGGGTCAGAGGTCTAGGTGTGGGGCAGATGACCCCCACAGACAGCAGAGGAACTGCCTCCTCCGGACCCCCATCCCAGCCAGTCCTCAAGGGCCTCCCTCATGAGACTCTCAGCTCTCTGCCAACAGGGAGCACTCGGAGACCCCACAGAGACCCCCCTGGCCCCAGGGAACCAGGCAGGATGGAGAGAAGAGGAGTGAGTGGAACAGAAATGGCATCTCAAGGAATGGAGAAAGCACGGGCAGGGGAGGGGGTGGGGGCAGGAGAGCAGGGAAATGAAGGGTGTGCCAAAGGTCCAGAGCAAGGTGCCAGCCAGAGCATCGGGGAGTCGCCCCCAAGAGAGGCCAGCTCAGCTACCTGGGGGAGGGCTGGGGCTGCTCCAAGAGCCAATGCGGGAAGGGCCCCACCACTCACCAAAGAGGGGCTGCTCCGAGCTAGGGAGTCCGCAGCTGCCAGGCGTCCTGGCCTAGCTGGCAGTCCCAGCGTGTGCAGCTGCCCTGTGGCCAACAGACTGCAGAGAGAGAGGGAAGGGAGGGGTTCTGAGGGGGTGTTGGCCTGTCAACACTGCCCTTCCCACCCCTTCTGTCCTGTGTCCTGTGCCCCACAGACTGCCCCCAGGGCCAGGTGACAAGGACCCCAGTGCCACCTTTTATCCCCTGATCTGGCCCCCTGACTCCTGAGCCCTCCACCCACTTCCCCCACCCCTTACCTATCCCCCCATCGCAAGTCAGAGTCCCTCACACCAGGACCCAGTGGGCAGGGAGCTAGCAAGCCTGCGCCCGCACCTGACCAAGAGTTGGCACCCCACACAGCAGCCACCCCAGGGAGGACCCACACACACCCCCACCATCCAAAGGAGCTGCAAAGTAATCCATTGGCCACAAGTTCCCCGAGCCCTAGCTAGCTCGTTCAGTTCTGATGACCAGACCGACCCGACCAGACACCGTGCTCAGCCCCCAACAATGGAACAGTATCAGAGTCAAAGCTATTCTAGAAAATTAGGCCAGAGCACAGCTCTGACTGGTTCTGCATTTTAAATCAACAGAACAGCCTGACCCTTCAAAATTGGACTTTTTCAGTGACTCCTCAAGAGGGGTTTAGTGGAAGTCAACAAGGCAGGGGAGCTCACCCCAGACCTCCAGGTGGCAATGGCAGCTCCGTCTAGACAGCCTGGACGCTGACACTCGCACGGAAGGGACAGGCGGGGAGGGAGGCTCTTCTTCAACCGCAGGGGAGAGGAGACCAGCTACCTAAAACTCCAAGCAAAAGTGGACCAGGGAGCGTTCCTGACCTTGATGCTGTCCGCGGATTCTAAGTTAAAACACCAAGACTGTGGCATTATTTCGGTTAGCGTCTGGCAAGTCCTTCCTAAGCCCTTTACCTGCATTCACTCGTTTATTCTTCACGGGAAGCCAGGATGAGCTCCATTTCACAGGCGAGAAAGCTGAGGCACGGAGAGGCGGAGTGAGCAGCCTGAGTTCATAAGCCTGGCTTACCGCACTAGTCTAGCAGGTTCCCCAGAGCCCACACTCTTTCCCTCTGAGGAGATCTGGCCTTGCTCCTCCAGCTTACACGTACTTGGCCCCCATACCTGCATCAGATTGTCCCCAGCCCATTTGTTAACTGGCAACAGAGAGACCCAGCATTACAAGGGTAGAGACGAGGGGATCCCTGGGTGGCGCAGCGGTTTGACGCCTGCCTTTGGCCCAGGGCGCGATCCTGGAGACCCGGGATCGAATCCCACATCGGGCTCCTGGTGCATGGAGCCTGCTTCTCCCTCTGCCTGTGTCTCTGCCTCTCTCTCTTTCTCTGTGACTATCATAAATAAATAAAAATTTAAAAAAATTAAAAAAAAAAACAAGGGTAGAGACGATCTGCAATGCAAGACTTATATTCCTTCCCTTTGCTGTCCGGTCTTGTTGATCAAGGCCCATGACTAAGGGGGTGAACTTGTGGTTTGTGAATAGTTTTCCCATATCCCGCTATTTGGCGTGACTCCTTTGGGGGAGGGGTTAGTGGATTCTCACTTCCCAAACCTGCAGTGCTGCCTGGCTCGGCCAAGTCAGAACGTCACACTATCTATTCCTTATGACCCCCTCTGGGAGGTCAGAGGCCTCATCTCATTGTTCAGGTGGGGAAACTGAGGCTCAAAGACTAAGCAGACATGCATAAGCAAATAAGGAGCAGCAGAGCCTCAACTCCCTCTGCGTTGGACTCTGAAGCCAGTGCTCTGGCCCCTTTACAATTAGCTTAGTGGAGAAAACACAGAGTTGAAGCAGTCTGGTTCCCTTGGGGAGGGGTACAGAGGCTGGGCTGAGATGACAATGGGCCAGCTGGGGCTCTGGGGCCAGCTGGGGCCTCAGAGTCCTATTTTTTTTTAAGATTTTATTTATTTATTCATGAGAAACAGAGAGAAAGAGGCAGAGACACAGGCAAAGGGAGAAGCAGGCCCTCCTCCGCAGGAGCCCAATGTGGGACCCGATCCCAGACCCCGGGATCATGCCCTGAGTCAAAGGCAGACTGCTCAGCCACTGAGCCACCCACGCGTCCCTCGGAGTCCTATTTTAAGTTTGAAACTCCATTTAGTACCTACAGGGAAGAGTACCATGTCACCAAGTGGCAGTAAATACAGGTAGGATGCAGTCTAGATTCTTAGGAACCTCCAACGTGATCAGAGAAAACCACAACTTGACCACACCCCATCCCACCCCTGTCTCACCCAGGGCAGCAGACAACACTGACTCCATCAACAGGGTTGGATGAGGTGCCCGCAGAGAACCACCTCTGTGCACTAAATTAGATTTTCCTGCAAAATGCAGGCCCATCCTGCCTAAGTGCCTCTAAAGAACAGGTAGGGAATACCACTAATAACAGTGCCAGGTAATATTTTTAAGTTATTTAAGTAAGAGTCTCCAGTTGCAATGCCGTTTCATTGGGTACTTATTCAGAAAGATCTGTCAGATAGCCAGCATGATCCAGGCACTGTTCTAGGAATTATGGGGAGTGGGGGGAAACATGAAGGAAGGCGAGCACTTACTGGCCATTCATGATGCTTATCCCAGGGGGGTCACAGATCAGGGCACGGGGGAGGAGTGAAAAACACCTCTCGCCCTCACACTAACCCTGTGTGGTTGATGTTGTCATACCCTCATTTTACAGATGAGGAAGCTGAGGCTCTGCAAGGTTAGATGAATTTCCCCAGCTCACACTCCTAGTAAGGGGTAGGGCCAGGATTCCAGCCCAGGCAGTGACCCCCTACATTTAACCCCCTCGGGTCCCCACCAAGACAGGAAACAGAAGGCTGGAAGAGATTTCACTGAACTCGAAGATTCACCCATAGAGGGGAGCATTGAAGGTTCTCTCTCTACCATCTCTCCCCACCCCAACCCAGAGAAACTCAAGGCCAGGATTAGAAACTGCTGCCTTGGCTAATAAATCAGAAGTAACTGAAGGATGTCGATGTTATGAATCCCTAGGAAAGTGGGACTCAGGTTCACAAGTTATAGCCTGAGCCCCAACAAGGGGAGTGTGTTCAAAGGCCCAGCCACAGGCCATCCCGCTACCTCCCAGGAGGGCAAAGCTAGGGCATGGGAACAGGAAGATGAAGAGAGTCAGACCCTCCTAGAAATGCCCCTGCTCTCCTGCCAGCCTGGCAGAGCCGGGCTTGGGACTGGCCAAGCTTCCTTGGTATGCTGGAGGCATCTGCCCTGGAAACCAGAGGCCCCGGGGCCGGGTCCTGCTGTTCCCGGGGGAGCTCTGGCCACTGCAAGGAACTGTTCAATCCCCATGTCCTCCAAGCCAGACTGTGAGCCCCGCGGCAGCCTTTGGCATGACCTTCCTCCACCCCTGGGCAGCCAAAATCCAGACAAGCCTTAGACACAGGAGCCCAGGATCTGGAACTTCTGTGGGAAGGCAGCGGAGTTGGTGAACCCCCAGCAGAAAGCTCAGGTGTCAGTGTCAGCCACCTTCAGATTAGGGCACAGGGTGGGAGTGAAAAACACCTCTATGCTGGAGAACTGGAATTCAGAGCTCAGAGCTCAAGCCATGGAACCAGAGCCACCTGGATACCACTCAGCAGCTGTGTAGACCTGGATTCACTCGCTGTCTCTGAGCCTCAGTTTCCCTACCCATAAAGGGGGTAAAACCACAGTAGCATTTGCAAGACTTGAAAGAATTAAAGCATTTAGTCGATGCCAGGCACAGAATATGGCACAGCCTTCGTGCTAGGGACACCGGCTCTGGGACGAGCCCCACTGATGGCCAGGTGTCTTAATCTCCCTGGGCCTCTGTTTTCTCACCTGAAAAATGGGGATCATTTTAACAAGGCTGTTGCGAGGACTAATCCGTTAACACAGTGCCTGGCATAAAGGAAGCGCTCGATAAATGTGTGTGACTATTAGCATCATTAAATGTCTTTTGTCCCTCGGGTAAGCAGCGGAGGACAGCTCTCACTGCCTCTGACGGCGAGGCAGACCCTCTCCGTGGCTGCGGTGCCCACACCTCTGCCAGGCAGGCCTCTGCCCACTGCCCCTTCTTCCTTCGGCTCCTCTCCCAGCCGGCGGGGGCACCGCAGCGGCTTGCGTGCTGCCCCCTCGTGGCCGCGTCCTGCAGTGCGGCCTCTCGCCCTGCGGCTTTGCTGCGTTCAGAATTCCTGGCCGGCTGGCTGCGGCCTCCGCTGAGGATCCCCGGGTGAGGATCCAGCCAGAGGGAGGTGACGTTGCAGGCTGCCCTGAGGTGTGATGATGACACCCCGACCCGGGCTGTGGCCTCTGCTCTGTGCACCCTCCCTTCCTCACCCACACAGAGAGGCAAGCAGCAAGGGGCAGCCTCGACTCATCCACAGGGCCCCTCCTCCCAGTCTCATTCCTCTCTGGCAGGGGAAGGAATACTGAATTTAATGTCACAGGCAGGAACAGCCTCTGCTTTCTCTGGCTGCCTTGGACACATCCCCTGGCCTCTCTGTGCCTCGACTTCTCCATAGATCCAGCGACTCTAAGGGCCTCCAAGCTCCAACCACTGGAGTCCTGATCCCAGAAAGGCCCCATGCTCCATTTTCAGCATCAGGGCCACCCTCGTTGCTGGCAGGGGCATGCTCCTTTGGGAGTGGGAAAGCCCCAGTCATCTTCCAAGAAGATATCAGGCTGACAGCTGGGCCGCATCCCTGCAGCCACCATAGTCCATGGCAGCCCCCAAGGGGCTCCGCCTCCTGCTGAGTTAGCCCCCCAACCCCCACCTCCTGCTCTATGAAATCCCATTCAACCCCAAGCTGTGACGTTGGCCTTTTCTGGGCCACAGGCCCCTTGGAGACACACGGTCCCTCTTTCTAGAAAGCTTCATCTGTATCCACAACTTTACAAACACAATCAGAAGGCCCCTGGACCCCCCAAAGCCCATCCATGGGCACTTTAGAGGCTTCACTCCTACTTTGCAAGTATTCTCTCCGGCCCGAGGACTTTCTTTTCAACTGACCATACCAGAGGGGCCTCTACAGATATGTATAAACTGATGTGGAGCCATCACCCAAGATGAAAAAATTAGAGCTAGAAAACACATGTGCAATAGTGTATTACTACTTCTTGTTTTTAAAAAGGGGATGCATGGGGGGTAGTATTTATACACATGCATACACAACCACAGAGGGAGCTCGCACTGAACTGGTAACCCCAGCTGCCCCAGTGGGAGGGCTGAGAGGGTGGGGTGGGGGGTGTTTCTACACTGAGCCTCAGTCCCATTTGAGTTGATTAATTTTCTGGGATAGAGCAAAGCCACCCCACCCCATGCAAGAACTGCCAGCCAGCTCTCCCCTCCCCCACTTCCAAGGCACCAGGGTCAAAGTCACTACCTTGCCGCCAGAACTGGACTCTGTGGGCTCAGGCAGGGCACTAAGGACAGCAGTCGGGGGGGGGGGGGCGGGCAGGAGCTGAAACAGAGGGAGACCCCCAGGGGACGTGGGGCTGTGGGGAGCAGCGAAGCCTGAGTTGCGGAAATGACTCCCTTCCCCACTTTTTCTTCCGAAAAAGTTTGTGAAGCCCTGAGGAGATGGGGGTGGGGTGGTAAAGAACAAAGATCCCGAACACTATAATTCTGACCAGCCTCAGGAGCCAGTACAGAGCCCCAAGATCTGGAGCAAGGGGCAGGGGGGAACAGGCAGGGAGGAAGGAGCTGGCAAACAGGCCTCTGAGACTGCAGAAAGGAAGTGCTTAATCCCTGTGTAGGGGAGGTAGCCAGGCCTGACCCACCAGAGATGTTTGTTTAGTTAAGGCTAAAACGTAAAACAGCAAGGTTGGTTTTTTGTTTTTTGGTTTTTTTTTTTTCTTCCTTAAAGTGAGA